TCACCTATTTTTAATTTATAAGTGCATAAATTTCAATTATATAACGCACCTATTTTCTATAAATTATTGTGTACCTATATTTAATTTATGAAAAATGTACGGAAATTTCAATTACAAAGTAATTGACCTTTTTTTTAATTAATTTTTTTGGTAAATAATATACCTATATTTTATTTAAATAATATATTTATATTTTATACGTATATATTTATATTTATATTTTTTTATAGGTACATTATTGGATATGTAATTTACATATATGTTTTTTGGTTTGCAATTTTAGGGGGCGGTATGTGAGAGGGAATGACAACCAAAAGAAATGGGGTGATTGATATGCTATTAATAGGGAGTGTTAATTACAATTATGACAGTTAATGAAATGCTTGAAATGAATTATAAATAAAATATGAAGTTTGATGGCAACGATGTAAAAATATAGGAATACTACGACCTTTTATATCCTACTGGTCATTTAAATTTGAAATTGGGTTTTACACATAGATTTATAGAATGATGGGTATATGTCTAGGAAATAGAAAATGTAGGGATCTATATTGAATAAGCCCTTCTTTTTAATAGGATTTTGTCTCATGGGATGGCCTCTTTATTTTAGACCAACGTAGGAAACAAGCATTTGTGAAAATTTTAATTGGAAAATTTGTATAAATACCACCTAAACTTTAGGCATGTGTGCTAATTATAATTGTTGAACAACTAATGAATGGCATGTATCCAGAAGATTGCATTACTTGGTACTCGGTTCTCTATCCTCGTATAAAAACAGGTGGCACTGAATTTCTATCTCCCATGATGCAACTAAGCCCCTATATAAAAGATGAGCATCGATCTAAAAGTTTGCATTGATCTGTTCTGTGTAAAAAAAGCTTCTAATATTAATCGTTAATTAAATATAAATATTCAATTGATATACATGATTGTAACTAAGCAAATCGGTAATTAAGTAGTGTACAATATTTTCCTGACAAATAAAAAAAAAGTAGTACAATCCTCTCCAAACACTAATACATACAGAAATCTAACAAGACCCATGTTTACAACAATGTTCTGTATCAATATTTAACAATTTTAACTTGTAAACATTACTGTTTCTGGGGGACGATTTTGGGGCAGTGAGTAAGCAGGACCGCCAGTGCTTGTTCCTGCAATCACATCGAAATAGTTGGCGATTCTTGCATCTTCACTATCCAGTTTCTGCAACACATGATCAAACATTTTGGATAATTTAGCACTTGATGATATATTGACATAGTCTCAGGTAGAATATTGATCTTTGGGTGATGAGGTTTCAGAGAGAGAGAGAGAGAGAGAGAGAGAGTCTGAATTCTAGAAGAGGGTTTAGATAAATATATAGCTAGAGTTCTTTGGTAAGTTTCCCTTTGACAGAAGTACTACAGGGGTATTTATAGACTCCTGCACTTATTTTTTCCAATAATCAACCAAGTCATTGGATTATGCATGCATGTACCCAAAAAAGTGTTAAGAAAAGTAAAATGTCAATGGTTATGAATGTGATTCAAATTTTTTAATCCTTTGTAGTTTATTGGATATAGTTCAAGTTGGACAGCATGTAGACTGAGAATGGAAATGTTCATTTCTAGTCAAACATTAGCATCTTTCTACAGGAAAATGGTTAATTATGGTTCCTCTAATTGTAGAATTGTAGGTGAGACTCCACGAGACTTGTAGGTGACAATGTGAAGCCATCTTGGAGGCTAATTAACATGATGCTGGTTAGGCCAATCCCCACTAGGATGGCCAAGAATTTCCTACCCTTAAAGCACCTCTATCAAGCATGCAGCCAATACTTTAGCTTATTATAAATTTCAAGTTCTTCTATGCGGCTACATACAATGAAGGGACATTATGATATTTAAGATTCCTTGTCAAAGGATTAAATCTTTACGCGTTATGATTTGATTCGTATAAGGCGGCAATGAACATTAGCGGTAAGACTAGAAGGGCAATCAGGAGGCCACAAGTTGCCAGTGTGATGGAAAATGGTCTTCCATTCAATTTTGCCTGCATTTGACTTCAATAGGATGATAAAGGGATGCTGCAAAATTTAATCAAGTTCTATCGTCATATGTTGTTCGTGGACTTCGATTTAGGGTGTAACATGTTTTCTTATTAGCAATCGTACACTTTAACAACACAGTCATCAATCATTGTACAATAAAATGCTACTGTCAACAAGGAAGAGGAAAACCTTTTGGTTTCTGTTTTACCATGTGGTACAAAGCTTAGTAAACGCTTCCCTTTTAATATAAATTGAATTTCTGTACAATTTACTGTCATTCATCCCACTTTCCCCCATATTATACCTAAAGTTAGCTGCAAGTAAAAAGTGACTTATCCATTCTTTTTCTTAAATTTGCTGAAATCCTGATTCCAGATAATCCATTAACTATCAGAAGATCATCCAAATTCTTCTTATCGGATATGTCCACAGAAGATACATGCCCGGTTAACGTGTCATCCTGCATTAATTTGGGTTAATAAGATAAATAATAATATAAATTGTAACACATTTACTGAGTACAGCTGATTCAGACTCGCATAGTTTATTAAAGAGATAGTAGCCAGCAACGTGATCAGGTGTTCATCAAACCAATGAGTCTGCAAAATTTCTCTAGCATTTAAGTTTGTAGTTTATGTTGTCTTTTAGAAAGTATATATATATACACTTTTTAGCATTATATTCCCTAAGTTTCTTGTTGTTATCTACTCTCCAGCCATATAATGAAGCAAACAAGTGTAACAAGATGAAACTATGACATATCAGTGAAACTGCAAGAGGGTTTTCCCATTCAATGAAGAAAAACTGATAAAAGACTCCTCTTGATGTAAAGAGCAGCTGCAATAAAATGTATCAATTGATAAGACTGATGCCTCTCTTAAAACTAACTGATGTTTCAAACTTTTAAGACAGTTAATTAGTTTAGAGGCTGAGCTTCAGCTAGTACTCTACTCCTCATGATACTGCTGTTTCTGTAAACTCTTTAATTAGTACTGGCGGTGAAATCATGCTTAGACAACAAAAAAAATCGAGAACGCACCAGACGACGCATGAAATCATAGAATTCAATCCATGCATTTATGTAGATCTAATTCAGTGAAAGCCATCCCTAGTCCATGTTCAATGTTTGACGATTACAATTCTGTTCACCATCCTTTTCTGTCTTTAAGTGATGAAGCAATTGAAATGGTATGTTTGATACTAATACTTAAATCTTCAACCTTTTGGCTGTGCCCAAGGAGATAATTATTCCAATTAGAACCAGTTCAACGCCCGGTACGGCCCATGTGAAATTGTATTTGTTTAAGTCATCAATGAATTCTAAATGCCCTAGAGGCCAAGATAGATGGTGGCCTTCATTTTCACTTTTTGTATGTGGACTTGTTGGTAAGGGTCACATTCCAACTTGACTAATTCAAAATTACACTTAGCTTCTGAGCTTAACTTTTCCAATAGTGATATGCGTCTACTTTCTGCATGCCAATAATGCAACATTTTCCGTCGACAGAGAAAAGCTCCTAAAACTTTTTTTCTTATAAAAAAAACCAAGCAGCAACAAAATGCCAAACAAGAAAATTCAGCTCTTAAAGCTAACATCACTATCTCTTATAAATATATAATCCAAAGAGTTGGTGATATGTGTATAGCCATTTTATCGAAAGAGCTCAAAAGGTCACAACACGTGCATAGTTTTCTTTTCTGCAAAAAAGGTTAAATTTAATTTGTTTATTATACTAAATACAGTTTAATAATAATTTAATAATAAATAGGGTTGCTGATGATATATAAAAATTTGGCCCCGAAAAGAGTTCTTGCTTGCAATACTTAAATTTCATTGATAGAGAAGAATGAATACATCTCTGTTACATTGATATCCCACCCCACCTGGGATTTATTCAGATACATAAAGAATATTAAAGAATCGTGTGATGGATCATTTGCTCCCATACCTCAAAAATTACAATTTTAATTTACTACTTGAACAATAATAAATGGAAGAATTCATCATGAGCTGTGAACATAATATGTGTATGATCAGTTGGGTTTTGGAGTATGTTCCTGGGGCGACCTCGCGAGACGAAGCCACTTCTCTTCAGAGAGTAGTTTTGCAAACCTGCAAGTAAGTTACAGATTTTAATTTTTGGATGAATTACTAGAGAAAATTATTAGCACATAGATTGTGGAATTTTTTTTTTTTTTTTCAAAAATGTGCCTATGTTAATAAATTTGTTTTTGCATGTTATTAATCAAATTGAGAGAATTGATTAAAATAAGTATACCTCAATTCGAAGGTAGTTTTTCTCGGAGTGAAGGGCTTGGAAAACCACAGAAAGGTTAAGATCAACCATATCTGCGCTACCGTAGCTGAAAACATTAATGATTGGGGTGGAACCACCGCTGGTTAACCAATTCAACAAGCCCCATTTAGCTGCATCATGTGCATTGTACTTCACCTCATCTTTTGGTGAGCCAGTTCCTAATGATATCACCAGAAATCGGCCATAGTCCATAGGTTTTATAGGGAAAAAGTCGGAGCTCCCCTTGATTATTGCCTTTGTCACTTCACCAATAGCAAGCAAAGTCTGAAACAAGGACACATCTTGAAGTCATTTTTCTGAACCGGATTAAAAAGACTTTAATATTCAATATTCGGTTGTTTTATATTATGTACCGGATTATTTGCAGCCACTCCACCATCGATAAGGTTAAATTCTTTAACGTTTCCTTCACCGTCCTTGGTTTTGAAATAATGAGCTGGAAGATAAGTTGGTGCTGCTGAGGTTCCAATGCATATGTCTGAGAGTAAGGCATCAAAGCATGGCTTGTGGTTCACCTGAAAACCACATATATATGATTAGTCAATGTTTGCTGGAAAAGATGAACTTGAGGAAGAAAGAAGTGAATAGCAGAAGGTGAACCTCAAAGCTGGAAAAGATTGTTGGCTGGAGACTCCTTATGTCAAATGTAGGAATCACAACGTTAGTCAATGTTTGGTGCAGTTTTTTGTCACCCAGTTTTTGCCTCACCAAGCTATGTAGATACTTCCCGTTGTATTTTGGTCCTGTTAGAGCTTTGATAATCTTTGTAACATGAGGAAACAACGGAAACCTGTTGTTTAAAACATTAAGCTTGTATTTAGTTTACTATTTAGAAAATATTTATTCGACCAAAAAATATATATATATTTATATCAAAAAATGTAGCAATCTGCAAATTAAAGTTATGTAAACATTACGTCTTCTGGGGGAAGATTTTAGGGCACTCATTAAGGTAGAATTCCTTAATATCATTGGCAGCGAACAGAGGACGGTTGTTCTCATCCGGGGCTGTGAGCATGGCAGTCACAAGACCACCTGTACTTGTTCCTGCAATCACATCAAAATAATCTGCCAGTCTTGCATCCTCGCCATCCAGCTTCTGCAAAATGATCAATAACATTAGTATCCTTTAGCAACAGTGTAGCTGTGGTAAAAAGTTAGAGAGTATTGTAAGACAGATGCTGGACATGTGAATATCTTACACATGTATATGCATGCACGTGCCAAGGAGAAGAAGATAAATATTTATGTATACGAGCTTTTAAAGCTTAAAGCATCCAACCCCAAATTAATTGGTAACGGTGGATGGAGAAGTCTTGCATTTTATGTAGTGTGATGCAAGACTTGGAATAAACAACATGAGGTTATGTATCCCCAAAAACAATAGCAGTGCCGGATGCATACATCGCAAATGAATCTATGCATTGTGAAATACAAGTCATAAACCATATATACCCCCACACAAAGATAACCTAATAGTAAAATTCTTATTCTACCTGAAGCTCGGATTCTAGGAAAGCAAGGATAGTTCCTGGGATAAGCCCTCTTATTCCACCCCCATCAATGCTTAGAACAGTGATTAGGTTTCCATAAGTTGGGGGCTGTAGGGGTATACTTTTGGTTCTTTCCATGAGAGACTTGAGAGTTTGAGTTGCTGTTAGAGATAGAAAGAGCTAGAGAGAAAGAGAGTCTGAAGTTAATTATTAGAAGAGGGATTTGGACAATAGCTTGCTAGAGTTCTTTGGTGAATTCTCCTTTGAGAGAAGTGGAGGTATTTATAGATTCCCATTGCACACACATTTTCCAGGATTCACCCAAGTCAATGGATTATGCCCCCCAAAAAAGTGATTGAATAAAGCACAATGTCAAGGGATGAATGTGATTCAAAGTTTTGACCCGGTTGATATTTTTCGTGGATATGGCTCAAGTTGGAGGCATGTTTTCTAAGCAAGGAAATGACATATAATTATTAAAAGATATATTTAGTCATATACTCATTCTTAGCACTAATGATATAGATAAACCCTACACCATTTAATTTCTGTAAACAAACCAAAGAAAAACTCAAAAAATGACAGCTGACCCTATTGAATTTAATTTTGATTATTAAATTACTTTGATGAGGTTTTGAGTGTTTTGGGTTCTTTTATGAGGTTTTGGGGTTGGGCTTGTTTTAAGAAATCAATGGTTATTTTGTAATTTATAATAAGTTAAAAGCCTATTTGTTATGGGTGTGTTTCTAAAGCCCATTTCACATAGGTTTTTTTTATATAATTTGGCCCCTATATTGGGTATAATAGTGAACACTAGTAAAAAAAGTGGTGACAATCACCATTATTTGGTAACATTTGTGGCCGTGACAAAAGGCATTAGTCACCTTTTTTGACTTTTTTTGGTGACTAAAAAGGCTTTTAGTCACATTTTTTGCTTTTTTTAGTGACTAAAGCCTTTAGTAACCCCACAACAGTCACCAAATAATGCCCTGTTTCTACAACAAACATGTTCATTGCTCCCCAAGCTATATGCCATGGACAAGACAAATATGCGAGAGTTCTAGAATTGTAGGTGAGAACTCATGAGACTTGTAGGTGAAAATGATTAGGTGAAACAATTGAGGTTAGCAAATGCACAGGAAACAGCTTGTTAGGTCAAATCCTGCATTGCTCATGAACTGCCCAACCTCTAAAGTAACCTCTATCAAGCAACTGGTCCTGCTTCTGATTATAATTAATTAATATCAGGTTCTTTTGTGTGGACAACATACTAGGAAGGCACCATAAGATCTTGGTGCTGCGTTCAAGGATTAGCAGAAAATTAAATCATATAACGCGTTGCAAATGCTTTGATTCGTAAAAGGCGGCGATGATCAACGATAGGATAGCAGGCCAAGAAGGTCAATTAGGATAACTATTCCAAAGTACTTGCACAAAATCAAAATTTGAATGGTCTACCATTCAATTAAACTATGTCTGCACGATGATAAGAGATGTATGGTACACTACATCAAGCACCATGCTCATAATTTAATCATATCATTCTATGGCCGTAGTTTTTCCTGTACCTTGATTAGGGTGGACATTATGTTTTAGTACCTATCTTACACTCAACCGTACACAATAATAATTGCGGACAACATCAGGACATCATCTCCAATTACACAGTATTCTGTAAATAGAGAAAAGAAAAACATTTTGCTTCATTTTCTGAATTTTTCACTGCACTAAACAGATTTTTGTATGTTTTCATTTCTTCTCACCTCCCTTTACTTATAATTTTGATTGAGCATGGTTTTTGCAAGCAAACTAACTCAGAGAGCTGAGGTAACCAGCATGACAGCAGGACGTCAGCATTGAAGAACAGACTCTCTACAGAAGCCTAAGCTTCCAGAGGTTAGCTGAAGTTAATCCTCCAGCTCAGCTCCTAATGTCAATTAAGAATTAACTCCATTTCTAATCTTATCCAGAAGTGATGTAATCCTTCTTCTGCTCCTGATCAATTGAATTGAAAAAACTCTTACGTACGTAATGAAGAATTCTTTCCTGCATTAAGTCTCATTCAAGTTCTTGTACTTTTCATCAGATTTTCCCCATATGAAAACAGCTCAAATCTTAATTACGTTCCATGAGGTGACCCGAAGATATAAGAATGATATGCCTATAATTTGAAGATCAATCTACACTGAAAGTGAATTTTCCATTGTCTTTCTTAGAGCTTATATACACCAGTTAGTTTGATGTCCAGACATTCACCATGCATCATGACTGAGTTGAGAGAAAAGAACTCAGAAATGCAAAATTTTCATAAGAATCTGCAACAGACTTTTTATTCTCCAGCTTGATGTCATGATTAGGAAAATTGTGTACCGCACGGCTGTAATCGAAGTCAGAAGTCAATTCTGCAGAACAGTATTATAAGCATTTCCAGGCCAATATGCTAAATGTTTTACAATTAGTTTTGCTGATTAAAAAACCTTATTCTTTTCCTTTTTGTTCAAGTGATAAAGCAATCGAACTAGCAGCCCCTGCTGAGGCTCTTGATCACATCACAAGTTGGTGACATATTCCATTGCGTTCATGCGATACTAAAAATCAAAACCTCAACTTTTAGCTTTTGCATTATTCTGATTTTGAGACATAAAATACTACTAAAAAATAGTATTGATTGAAGTTAACTCTTGCATAAATGGCAGCCACATAGAAGAAAATCATTAAAGGACTAGTCTTCATTAACTTGAACTACAAGTTGTCTTCAAAAGTAGAATTCCAACAAGGTCCGTACAACCCACGGAAGTAGAAAATGTTAAACATGCAGGAGATTGACTATATAAAATGATTATCAACAGAATTTTAAAATTTATTTAATTTCTTTTATTTTGGCCAAACATGAGAAGACAAAGTTTCAACCACCCTATGAAAGTTCCCCTGGCATACAAAATGATTAATACTTTTAGAGGGATGACTTCAAATTTGGACAATTTTCTATCTGGATACAACCCACAAGTCTCAAGCATACTTTATTGCATTAGTTTTATTCATCTCATACCGCCTTATTTTATTCATTTAACAAAGGAAGAAAAAAAAACACTGAAAATCTCAAACTGCATCACAAATATTTGCCATGGGGTTCTAAGATGATGAGGCTTGATCACGAAGGTGCTTCTCTTGAGAGAGCAGCTTTGCGAACCTGCATACGGGTTAAAGAAAAACTGTTCTGTGTTATTATGTGACAGAAGCCATAAGAAGGGTTTAATTGACAAGCTAAGCTAGAATATATAATTTCACACCTTGTAAGAGCTTGTTCATTGGTCTCATGTTTCGATGGTCCAAAACTACCCGTCTCTAAATTCACCTTTGACACCGGTTTCTTCAGCAACTCTTCTCCAATCTTTGCAAGATTTTCCAGATTCTCCTTCGTGGAATTATCAACAGAGGAGACTTCCCCTTTCAATGTATCATCCTGCAATTTTAACCAAGACTAAATGTACTTAGTTTTCAGCAATTTCATTTTCCAGCTAGACTACATAACAACATACATATAATAAAATTAAGGCACCAAATGGTTATGAGACTGATTGAGCAATGTCTACGAATACCTGAATTCGAAGGTAATTTTTTTCGGATTCCAGGCTTTTGAAAACCACAGACATATGCAAGTCTACTAAATCTGCACTTGCTTGAGTGAAGACATCAACTAATGGGGTAGAATGGTCACTTACTAACCAACCAAACACTCCCCATCTGGATGCTTCATTTGCAGTGTACTTCTCTTCAACTTTAGGAGAACCTGTTCCCACTGATAGTACCAGTAGTCTACCATAATGATCAGCTGCTTTTATAGAATTGAAATCTGGGCTTTTCCTGTGAATCTCTTTTGTCACTTCTCCAATAGCAATTAAAGTCTAGGTGTTGATCACAATAATTGAACACAGCATTACTATAGTTGTAGGACCAAAAAAATAAACACCCAAAAAGGAAAAAGATTGTTTAGTATAGGGTACCAATATGCTACACTATCGATGTTGTGCCGATATTTTGTTGATACTTAATCAATAATATTCGACAACATATCAGATACTGTAGATTTTGATACCCGTTACCAAACCCAACACTATCATCAAATTTATATTCACCGGATTGTTAGCAGCTACACCACCATCAACAAGATTGAATTTTTCCACCTTTCCTGCAGAGTCTTTGGTTTCAAAATAGTGGGCAGGAAAATAAGTTGGGGCAGCGGAAGTTCCAATGCCTATATCTGACAGTAAGGCATTGAGGTATGGCTTGCGCTTCACCTAAAACCAAGTATTAATTAAGTACAATATATATTGCCCTTAATTTTGAGAAATTTCAGACATAAAAAATTGGGTTGATCAACAACCTCAAAGCTGGAGAAGATGGTGGGCTGGAGTCGCTTGATGTCAAAAGTTGGGATTACAACGTTGGTCAATGTTTGTTGACATCTTTTGTTTCCCAGTTTTTGCTTAAGGAGATTATGGAGATACTTGCCATCGTACCTTGGTCCAAACACTACTTTGATCATTTTGGCGACTGAAGCAAGTGGCCAACTGTTGCTTATGCAGAATATAGGAGTGTGTAAGACAATAATCAACACTAATACGATATAAATGGTAGTAAATTAACACATTTTTCTGAATGCCAATGCTCCAAGCCCCACATTAATTCGTCATTAGTGTCTGCATAATATGTGATTTAAAGATCCAATTATCAATTGTTAGTTAATTTGTTAACTAGTTGCTTGGGCTCATGTTGTTACATAGGATATTACAATCCAACCCATTTGTTCTATACATACAGGCTTGGGCTTTCTGGGATAGTGCTCATGAGCTGAACATGGTACATAATGGGGCTATGAATATCAGGATTAGAATTCAGGTACATCATGCGTCGACCAAAAGCTGAATTATATCATGATTAAAGTGTGTGATTATAAATGACAAAGAACTAAAAAAAGATTTGTTAAGTCTATTATATATTACCTCCCTTGAGGAAAAATTTTAGGGCCGTTATCAAAATAGAAGGACTTGATATCTTTGGCAGCATACATAGGGCGATTGTTGTCATTGGGTGCAGTTAGCATGATGGTCAACAGACCACCTGTGCTTGTCCCTGCAACTACATCGAAGTAATCTGCAACTCTTGCTTCCTCACCATCTAGCTTCTGCATGCATGGACACCATGAAAACGAAAACTGCATCTTAAATTCTCAAGTAAAAATGGATCTCTAATTAATTACTGTAATTTTAACATTATATATATATAGCATTGAGAGTACGAGAATTGTATAACCTGTAACTCGGACTCTAAAAAGGCAACTATAATTCCTGGAATAATTCCTCTAATTCCACCTCCATCAATGCTCAGAACTGTAATGAACTTTCCATGAGTAGGAGCTTTTAGGGTTCCTAACTTTGTTTTTTCCACCTCCATTGGTTTTTAATGCGCAAGTATTATGGAAATATATTAAATAATTGTTGAATTGTTGAGACATTCTATCTGTATATATATTACTCCATGGAAAAGAGGAACCCAACAATCTGGATTAGTGGGACTAATCATTCTAAATGTGACCTATATGAATAGTGGGTTCTAGCTTGGACATGATATGTGAACAAATTATGCGTGCACAATTGGAAATATTGCGCCATTGACGATAACAACTCTTGAGTGCCATTTCCTCAAGTGGTGAGTGCTCTTCGTTTGGCAGAGAAAAGATGGCAACTTTTGGCACCACCCCATGCAAGAATTGTAGGTGAAACTATGAGAATTGTAGGTGAGAACAATTTGGTGATCACGCATGAGCATTTGCTCATGTAATCTTGATTTCGGTACCTAACTAAAATGATTGGCAGTGTGCGTTTGAAACCTAGGTTTTCAGACAAGTAGTGTGTGGCATCTCCATAAATTAATGAAGAGCATTTTAATTTTCCTTTTGAAACTTAATTAGGTTTATTTGTTTCTCCCCCAAACGAGGGTAAGTGATGATGATGATAAATAAAACATTGGCCGAAAGGAGTTATGATTTTAGTCCATGTAGCTTGAGGGAAGTAATTTAGTCCATATACATACTTTCAGTTGTCATGATTTTATGCACACATGTAGTTTACTAATTGTTGCAATTCAAACACAATGACTTGATTTTATCAAATTTTGTTTACACTATTAGCTCACGAGTGACATATATGAAGGTAATTAAATTGCAGTACTTCTTGAGTGTAAAAACACCAAAACATGCCTTTCACATTCAAATTTTCATGAAAAATATGGCAAAGTGCATTAGTAAAATACATAGGGTTAAATCTTGACAAACTAATAATTGACCAAAATGAAAGTTGACTACGTAATATATTTGAGAATGTTTCTTACTTTCTGAACTTTTGAAGAGTTTTTCTTTTGGAGATAAGATTGCATAAGACCGTGTGGTTAGCTAATCGCCAACAATAAAATATAATTATGATGAATGAAACGTCCAGAAAATGAGTATTAATTTATAGATTTTTGTGGCGCTTGGAATTTGGATTATGTGTTGTTGTAACTTGTTTATCTCGTACACTTTAGAACCAGTTCAAACTTCAAAACCCTCATGGGATTTTACATAAACTTTCTGTTCCTGTCATGCCGCCATATTTTACCACTTAATAATATTAAACTCCAGAAAAAGCACCGATCAAGCGAAGAGATTAATTCATGAAGAAATGATCATCCTCCCTCAGCTTGATGAAGAAGACAATGCCACATCAACATTAATAGCTTAATTTCTATCAACAATTAGTATAACTTGTTTTGTTATTGATAGTCAAATCATCATTCCCTAAATACGAGCTTTTGATGTTAACCCAAAACTTAACCCATATATATACAAGTAACTCCAATTTCACCTTCCTTGATCTCCTCATGTAGGTTTTTTTTTTAATTTTTTTTAATTTTATTTTATAAATTTATGAACACTCCTCAAGTAGTCTTTAAACCTTCTTTATTTATTATTCGAAAAACTTATAAAAATATGTGAACAATTTTGTTTCGATAACTTTGTGTTGAGTTAATTGGACCAAGATTACTGCGCCGGAACTACCATGCACAGGACTTTGACTAAGAAAATTCCCATCCCAAGTCCAAACCCTTTATCATTCAACACAAGGTAAATTTATCATTTGTAGACTCTTCTAACCATCTTACAACTCCTTTTTTTTATATTATTTTTTTATACAAAAGATAATGGGGAGGGAAGATTTTTCGAACAAAAAAAAAATTAACAGGTAGGGAAGATTCGAATACAGGACATTGGCGGTTGTATGGATAACTATTCTTAACCACTTGAATTACAAACTCTTTATACCTTTATTTATCTATATATATAAAGCAAAATACGGAGAATGGTGAAACATTCAAAATACCATAAAATGCCCTTGGTTAATGCAAACATTAAGAATTGAAATTATTAATTAAATGAGGATAATATGGTAAATTCACACTTTGTCATATTTAAAAAATTAAAATTAAAAGAAAAATAAGATAATGAATCCTATTTTTATGGAACACAACTACCCATTATCTTTTTTAATTCTAAAATTTAATTTTTTTTTTTAAAAAGCCTCTCGCAGGCGTGGAAGCGTGTGCGGAGAGGCTAGTATACTTTAAACGATTAAGGATGGTGTAGAGATAACAACAATAATAACAAAATAAAATATTTTTATTGATGTTCCCACAACCAAAAGAATTTGAAAGAAAGAATGTATATGTATACATCTATTTACATTCATATCCCGCCTGGGATTTATTCAAACACACACAATATTAAAAGAAGGGATCAAGGTATGATGGGATCATTTTGCCCCCATACACTTGACCTTACAACAATTTATTATAATTTACAATTTTCCAAACGATTCTAAATGAAAGAATCAAGAGTTGTTTATATACTTGGATCGATCATAAGGTAGGAGCTTTAAGCAAGCCCATTATTCAACGTTTCTTGGCGAAGACGCTTCTCCTCAGAGAGTAGTTTTGCAACCCTGCAAATTATAATTAAGTTAAAGTTAAACCTTTCCATTAATTAATTACTATGTTACTATGTCTATATATATATTATGCATGTGGATTTATATAAGTGTGTGATATATATATATATACCTTCTAAGAGCCTCTTCATTCGTCTCATTATTAGAAGCCTCAAACCTGCCACTGTCCAAATTAACCCTGGAAACTCGTTCTTTCAATAGGCCTTCTCCAACTGTGACAAGACGGGCCAAGTTCTTCTTTGTGGCTACATCCACAGAAGACACCGTCCCATGAAGCGTGTCATCCTGCGTACACATACAAGTCAATATAAATATGTAACCCTAATCTAATTATCATAAGAAATTAGATTACCATCCTTAAATAAGATGTTTTTCTTTTTCATTAAAGAGTACCTGAATTCGAAGATAGTAATCCTCTGAGTGGAGGGATTGGAAAACTCCAGAAAGGTGAAGATCAACCATATCGGCACTTGCTTGACTGAACACATTGATGATTGGGGTGGTGCCACCGCTGGTTAACCAGTTCAAGAGGCCCCATTTGGCTGCAGTATGTGCATTGTATTTCAGTTCAGCTTTTGATGTGCCAGTTCCTAATGATATCACCAGAAATCGTCCATAGTCCACTGGTTTCACAGGAAAGAAGTCCGGATTCGCCTTCTTTATTTGGTTTGTTACTTCACAAACAGCAAGTAAAGTCTGCAAGGGCAAGCAAAAGTGTTTAACATCAAGTTTACTGTAAATGAACCTTACATATATATATAGTAAAATATTCTCTTTCCATACTATTTAATTACTCGTTTGTATATGTTGCGTTGTTAGACTACAAATCTGAACTTCACATTCAAAATGGTTCAAATTAACAGTCTGCTAACATGAGAAGAGAGTACTATTAATACATTAATACTAATATTATAATGGATCATTTAATTATAATACGTACCGGATTATTTGCAGCCATGCCACCATCTATGAGGTTAAATTCTCTAGTTTGTCCAAATTCGTCCTTGGTTTCAAAATAATGAGCTGGGAGAAAAGTTGGTGCTGCTGAGGTTCCAATGCATACGTCAGAGAGCAAGGCATCATAGCATGGGTTATGCCTTACCTGGTCAACCAAATAGAGAACATGTTAGATTATTATATAGGTAATTTTCTTAATTATTTATAATTAGAGATGATGAAGAAATGATGAAGTACCCTAAAGCTGGAGAAGACAGTGGGCTGGAGATTCTTGATGTCAAATGTGGGAATGACAACATTAGTCAGTGTTTGGTGCATCTTTTTGTCGCCCAGTTTTTGCCTAATCAAGCCATGTAGATACTTGCCATCGTATTTTGGTCCTGCCAGAGCTTTGATGATCTTTCTAGTATAACGAAACAAAGGAAACCTGTCGTCCAAAACATTGAAGCAAAAGTTATTTATACTGTGAAATATATATATATATATTAATTATGGATTAGTACGTACTTCTTTTGGGGGAAGATTTTAGGGCAGTGAGTCATGTAAAAGTCGCTAATATCTTTGGCAGAAAACAGTGGGCGGTTATCCTCATTTGGGGTTGTGAGCATGGCCGTCACAAGACCACCTGTGCTTGTTCCTGCAACCACATCAAAGTAGTCGGCGATTCTTGCATCTTCACCGTCAAGCTTCTGCAACACATCAAAAACATTAATATAAATTCAGGGAAAAGAGATTCGAATTTTAGACCTCTTCGAATAAACTGAAGATAAGTGCCACTAAACCTAAAAAAAGATTAAGACTATAATACCTGAAGTTCGGATTCAAGGAAAGAGAGGATGGTTGCGGGGATGAGCCCTCTTATGCCGCCACCATCGATGCTGAGAATTGTGATCATCTTTCCATAGCTTGGGGGAACTACGATACTGTTGTTTCTTTCCATGAGATGAGAGAGGGTATAAGGGAGGTTTCTGATGGATGAACTTTGTAAGCTAATGAGAAGACTTAAGAGAACAAATCAAAGAATAGGTAGCTAGAGAGTTGTTGGGTTGGTTCTGAGTTCCCCTTTTGAGAGATTTTGTGTTGCTATTTATAGCCTCTAATACTTAACTTGTTGGTGCATGTAATTACACATCTTCCAGGAAACAACTGAAGCCCATAACGTTGAAGATGATGATCCGCCAGCTCAGCTAATCAACAGTGTTAATCATAATTAATTTAGTTCTAACCGTACTTTGTATATAGGCATGTGTAACACAAGAAATGTAGCTCATATATCCTTGAGGCTCTTGAGTATTATGAAGAGTTCTTTCTGAATGAGATATTGACTTGGAGAGATATGGGACCATTAAATTAATAATATCATGGAAAAACATGAAACAGAAGTGAAATTCAACGAATGAATTTAATTATATATTACTATCACTTTTCTTTTTGGCCAAACAAATATTAGATAAAT